TTTACCTTTATAAAGCGATTTTTTTCTAAAAGTGTGCATCATCTTTGAAGTCAAATTCTTACTTTTAATCAGTCAATTATAATAATAATAATACTTTTAGGCTGTTACTAAACAAATGAAATCAGTATCAATAAAATTCATCTTTGCAGAAGTTGCATACGAAGTGACATTTAGATGTATTTACACGTTAATGCAGTTTAGAGGGACGTGGAATGCTTTAGCCTGCAGTTACAAATGCATAAGTAATGTTTTGATATTTTAAACATGAAATGTTGAATACTGATATTTGAAATTATTAAAAAAATTAAAAAAGATACTTTAAATGTGAAATTAAAACCGCCAGTAGATGGGAGCAAGTAACTGTTAAGTGAATCATTGAAAAATAGCAAACACAGCCAATATGGTCTCTAAAACGTAAGTCTCTTGATATTAACTTATTGTTTATTGAACTGTTGTATAAAATCAGTATCACATTTAACCATTCTGATTTTTTAAGAAAAAACGGCACTCTTCCTGTGATATTGATTAACTATATAAATTGATAAAATATATATACATTTTCTGACCCTTATCTTGAATTATGTGATCATTCTTAATGCATATTAATAGACGAACAACGAACAAACCATACATCAATGGAAAGCTTATTTATTCAGCTTATGTGTAAATCTTAATTTCGAAAAATTGACATTTAAATTGACAATTAAGACTGGTTTTGTGGTCCAGAGTCACAAATAGTCATTTTGTTGAAAAATGCCTAACAATGCAGGAAATTAGGTGTGTAAATGTATGCACAACTCCTTAACACGTGACTTTCTATGTTACTTTTGCTATATGATATTTTCACACACGTACACAATCCCATCAACCTGCAGGGTGGGGCTTTTAATATTATTTCCTATATATATATATATTTTATTTTTTTTAAAGCGTCAAGCAATGTAGCCAATCCCAGACATATCTGTTGATTTCATGAACGTTGGCGCTTACCTTGTTACAATAAAGTGTAGACCCTATGTAAATAAGAGGTTCACTGTGCAGTGTAGAGCTTTATTGATTTCACGGAACTTTGTGAGATCAAATTTTGTTGAAAAATGCCTAACAATGCAGGAAATTAGGTGTGTAAATGTATGCACAACACCTTAACACGTGACTTTCTATGTTACTTTTGCTATATGATATTTTCACACACGTACACAATCCCATCAACCTGCAGGGTGAGGCTTTTAATATTATTTCCTATATATATATATATATATATATTTATATTTTTTTTATTTTTTTTAAAGCGTCAAGCAATGTAGCCAATCCCAGACATCTGTTGATTTCATGAACGTTGGCGCTTACCTTGTTACAATAAAGTGTAGACCCTATGTAAATAAGAGGTTCATTGTGCAGTGTAGAGCTTTATTGATTTCACGGAACTTTGTGAGATCAACAAAGTCACGGCAACGAACAGTTTAAGTTATTAGTTGAAAGGGTCACTGTTTACACTATTTTATCTGGTGTGTTTCTCTCTGAATAATCACAGGAAAAGCAGACATCTCTCAGATTCAATAAAATGCATGGAAACCTCTTAAAAAATCCTAATGGATATGGTAAGTCGACATTTACACTACCATTCAAAAGGTCAGATGTGTTTAAAAAAAAAAAAAAAAATCATATTTGATAAGCAAAGATGCATAAAAGTAATCAAAAGTGACATTAAAGTCATTTATAATGTTAATAATGTTTATTTATGTTTACTGGAACCTTGAGTAATGATGCTGAAAATTCAGCTTTGCATCACAGGAATAAATTACATTTCACAATATAAAACAGTTATTTTGAATTGTAGTAATCCATGGATCAGCAGTATGTTTGGTATAAAAAAGGCAAAGCTTACAAGCAGTAGAACACAATCTCCATGGCCAAACATGGAGGTGGACAAGTCTTGTTATGGGGTGCTTTGCTGTTGGAGGACATGGAAATCTTAACTGTATGAAGGATCAGGCCATTTTGGCAAGAATTGTGAATTGTGCAAGAATTTAGTGCAGAGACTAAAGCTTGATTTGACTTTCCTGCAGGACAACAATCCAAAGTATAAATCCAAATCTACTTATGCTTGTTTGAAGGATCGATAGTAGACTGTTCTTGAGTGGCCTGTTCGGTCTAAGGATTTATATCTCATTAAAAATATTTGGTGTAATTTGAAAAAAAGCAGTGGTAATGTGAAAAACAAAGATTATCAGTGCTCTGGAAGCTTTTTCAAGCAAAGAACGGGCCAAGATTGCAGTAGACAGGTGACAGAAGCTTCAAAGCACTCACAGAGTTTATTGGAGATTATAAAGAACAAAACATTGTGCACCAAATTTGACTTTTGGGGGTTTAATCATTTTGTACATGAATGTTTAGAGCCAATTAGATTAAATTTTTTCATTATTCATCTACTTTACTTTCTCAGAATTACTCAAGTGTGCATTGATATCATTTTTCTAATAGTTTACTGATGCCTTTGTTGAATTGTTTTCATAAAATGTTCTCGACAGCAGAATGGCTTGCAGGTCAAGGGTGATGAATAATTTTTATTGCAACACTATGTGTGTGTGTGTGTGTGTGTGTGTCAGGTTTTACAAAGGAAGAACTAAATAAGAAAATAAAAAAACTAGTGCTGTCAAACGATTAATCGCATCCAAAATAAAAGTTTTTGTTTACATAATATCGTGTGTACTGTGTATATTTATTATGTACATATAAATACACGCACATACAGTATATATTTTGAAACTGTTTACATGTATTTACATGTCTATATTTATATTCATATAATTTATACTATATATAAATATATTAAATATATAAACATATTTTTTCTGAAATGTAAACATGCATGTGTGTGTATTTATATATACATAATAAATATACACAGTACACACACATACCTGTATATTATGTAAACAAAAATTTATGTCGGGTGCGATTAATCGCGATCGCAATTTTGTTCATGCAAACTTGT